GCTCCTGTACCGCCCTGCTGTCGCCACCAAAAGCGGCACGGCCCCAAGTGACCACAGCTCCATCTTTTAGGATTGCAGCAAACGCACCGCCAGAAGCTTGGATCTGCTGCACATCTCGCAGCTGCTCCTGCACCGCACTGCTGTCGCCACCACAGACGGCATTGCCAAAGGTGACCACAGATCCATCGCCCAGGATTGCAGCAAATGTAGCCTGCGAAGCTTGGATCTGCTGCACATCGCGCAGCTGCTCCTGTACCGCGCTGCTGTCGCCACCACAGTCGGCTTTCCCCCAGGTGACCACAGATCCATCGCCCAGGATTGCAGCAAATGCACGACCAGAAGCTTGGATCTGCTGCACATCTCGCAGCTGCTCCTGTACCGCACTGCTGTCGCCACCATGGTCGGCATCACCCCAGGTGACCACTGATCCATCGCCCAGGATTGCAGCAAATGCGAAATGAGAAGCTTGGATCTGCTCACATCTCGCAGCTGCTCCTGCACCGCACTGCTGACGCCACCACAGACGGCATTGCCCCAGGTGACCACAGATCCATCGCCCAGAATTGCAGCAAACGCGGCATCAGAAGCTTGGATCTGCTGCACATCTCGCAGCTGCTCCCGTACCCAACTGCTGTCGCCACCATCGTCGGCGGTCCCCCAGGTGACGACAAATCCATCACTCCGGATTGCAGCAAATGCACGACCAGAAGCTTGGATCTGCTGCACATCTCGAAGCCGCTCCTGTACCACACTGCTGTCGCCACCCCGGCGATGGCCCCAAGTGACCACAGATCCATCACCCAGGATTGCAGCAAATGCACGATTGGTAGCTTGGATCTGCTGCACATCACGCAGCTGCTCCTGGACGGCACGGCTGTTGCCACCATTGCTGGCCGTACCCCAGGTGACCACAGATCCATCACCCAAGAGTGCGGCGAACGCGGTGGATTCAGCACGATGCCGGGTGGCTTTTATCTTGACCTGCTGCACATGTAGGGTGAGCACGTCCCCATTCATCAACTTTGCTTCTGTGACACTTTGTGCTCCGACAAGCACCTCTCCAGAAGAATTCAGCAGCCGACCCCTTCTCGGGACCACCAGAGCACTCTGGGCGCGGTGCTTCAAGGACTCAACAGATTCATCCGCCTCCACTTCCACAGAGGCACGCTTGCCACTCAGCAGGTGCACATCCACGGAAATCGACATGATGGATCGTAGAGCAGTCGCTTGACGCAAAAGCCCCAGACTACGGAGACTTGAAGCTTGTCTTGGCCACGGGATGATCACTTGCAATGTGCTGTGGTTTCACTGAGAGCTTGGTCAGTGACGACGCAAAATCTGGAATCTCGTTAAGCTGATGTGCCGCTCGACACCTTCGGCTTGTCTTGCCTGCGCGTTGTTGTGTTCGTTTGACTGAGAGCTCGAAGCTGTGAGTAGGGTTTTGCCAAAAAGGGAGGCTGCGGCTGCGGCTTTGGTGCCGCTGATAGGATTTCGTTTCGATCTGTTTCCTGAAGCCCCTAGTTCTACAGTAGAAGCCCAAAAGTTGGAAACCCAATAGCCTCAATCCGTAAGAGTCATGTATAGGGAACCCCAGCACTATTTGTCCTTAACCCGGTTTCCCAAACTTTTGGTGGGTTTACCGGAGAGGGGGGAGGGAGGGGGGGGGGAATGGCTGCGCGGCGCGGCTTCGCTCCTAGCCTCGACTACCGTTGCCGAGGCGGCCTCGCGTTAGCGACAAAATTAGTTTCCATACATTGGCCCCATGTTGGCACGACAACCCTATCTGTGTTGCCGGCGCGACGAAAGGAGTGCAAGAAACACGCATGAGGCGCACTAGTCACTGGAACGCAAAATTGAAAACACGAAGAGACAAAGCGCGACGACACGCTAGGGCAATAGCGCAAGAGAACCACGATACATTCCAGGACGATACGAAGAGGATTCAAGGACACGAGACACAAAGACAAGGACACGAGACACAAGAACAAAGCCTCGAAACACACCACCATGATTGGTCAATTCCAACCGGCCCTTAAGCCTTGAACTTGAATCCGTTTGCAAAGGTTGCAGCAGAAGTTGGGGGGCACCCTTCATGAAGCTTTTTTGACGGATGGAAACAAGCGTCGGATGCTAAAGCATTCTGCGTCTCTTGTGTCGCAGAAACGTGCGTGGAACAGATCTTGATTACCAGGTCTTCCCGCTGCGAAAACAAATCTTCTGCCACAGTCTGAAGCCTTTTTTCCGTGAAGCGGGGAAGCCCTGTCTAGCGCCGAATTACAGTGCTCTCTGGTACGCCAATTCATGCAAACACGGTGTCGTTGGAGCCTTGGCGCAGGCAGTCTCAAAGAAGACGAGTTCCTTCACAGCCCTGGGCACCACGCTTGCAGCCTGGGAAAGCATCAAAACAGGTGTCTGCTCCTTAGCCAACACATCTCCCATGCGAAGCCCGGCAGACTTTAAAAGAAACCGGGACGGAGGCGACTCCTTGAAAATGCTCCTTGAGTCCCACGGTGATCGCTTCCATGGCCTCCCAAAGGCAACGGAGAGCAACTTCTGAGACCTTCTCCGCAAGGGGCAGCCGGGCAGTGTGTACTCTTGTGCCTGCTGCTGCTGGCCGACCTCAAATGCCAGGTCGGACATGGCCGGACTTTTGGACTGTTTGCTCATGCACTGAGAATGCCTTTTTTGTTGGACCGCTCGTGCACACATGCCATGACATCGAGCTCAGCGCTCTTGTGCTGCATTGCTCTCATCTGACAGGCAGTTTAAAGAGAGACCTGGCTTCTGCCTCGTCTCTTCAAGACCCTGCACAGGCAACGACTCTGCACGCCCAAACAGATTATCATCTTTAGCTTTGGTGAAACAGGTCAGCACAGGTCCAAAGGCGCGAAAGAGCGCACCTATCGATTGTAGCGTCGGTGCTTCTGCCACTGTACATGCCTGATCAACGCAGAGCCCTGCCTCTGCCTTCCGCTTAACCCCGCAACAGAAACATGGCCAGCAGCAGCAGCAGCAGCACCGGTGCCAACCTGAAGCCAAAGGCGCGGTTTGGCATAAGGGTATATAGAGGCAGGAATCCCGTCTTCAAAGGAAGGCTGCGCTTACTGAAGGATGTCAAGGGTGCAGCACGAAGTTCTGAGCACCCAGCCGGCCGGCGTCTGCGGCGTCCCGTGGGACATCAACCTGCACTTTTCGTTGAGGCAGTCGAAGAGCACAGACGGGCCAGAACTCTGGCCTGCTCCTGCTGCCCACCTGCACTGACATGAGGCGATGCCGATTGCCCCGCACGAATCCCACGCCCCAAATGCTCCCACCTTCGCCTTGCTGCTGGCCCTGCTGGCCCTGCTGGCCCTGTTGGCCTTGCTGGCCTTGCTGGCCTGGCGGCCCGCCGCCCTGCAAAATCTTCTCACAAGGTTTGTCGCTGTGCATGAGTCTTGCGCCCTCAGTCCGGGACCGGTGGTGGTGGCAGCTCCGACTGCCAGACTGTCTGACTAACACACGTGCGTGTCTGGAAGGAGAAGGCGGTACCTCTCAGGCGGCCGTCAGGCTTAGCGAAACCCTGGCCTTCCCCTCAGAGTTCCGGGCCTTGGTGGCAACAGCAGTGCTTCTCACCCGCCAGTGGCACCGTGCACTTCTTGGCATTCTTCGTGGAGCAGCCTCAGAGCAACGAGACAGCTCCTGCGCCTCTAAAACGTCCTGTGTGAGAAGTCTGAAGTCTTATAGAGGGTCTCTCTCATGTCTCGATAAGTTAAGTGTTCTGTCCTCTTGGAATTGCTCAATGTTGACCTTTCTGAGGCAGCTTCCGAATACTCCAGGCGAGTCGATAGATGGTGGGATGACAAAGTTCCCTCACAGCGCAGTCAGGTGCACTTGGCTGCCTTCATTCTGGCTTTCGGCAGCTGGCGCGCCTTTCTCCGCGGCGTACCGTTGGATATTCTGCCAGGCATTTGGTGGCTTGTCCTGTTCCTTGGCATATTTGGCACTGGCAAACCCACTCTTTCGATGGAAAACTGAGACCAGGCAGGCCGGGTCTCGTAGCTCACACACTCGCCACATCTATCCTTACCGATCTCGTACTGGCATGCGCGGTGGCAGCAGTACTTCTTGGGGTGGGTCACACACCTGCCATGTTGGGGAAGCTCAGAGATGAAGCGAGCTCTTCACAACTTCAAACCTGCCGGCAGCGCTTGGAGGCTTGACCTACTCTGTGAAGAAGGCCCCACTTCTCGCTTCCTGGCACCGGGTCCTCACCGAACGCCGCCGAACACAGAGGCCACCAAGCATGCGCATCACCGCAGCAACTCACAGCCGGACGAACGCCGCGCCTCCACATCTGACGGGTCGTCCTTGTTGGGCACGCATGCGCGCTCCGGAAAGCTCCAGATGAAGCCTGCCAAGATGAGGCAGTGCCGTTCAGAACCGAAGTGGTCAATCTTTGTCTAATGGTTTCCGGCAATGCAAGGAGCGGACCTGGCCTGAGTCGCAGCAGCAGAAATGCTGTTGCCCTTCATCTTTGCAAGCAATAGCATTCTTTTCGGTGCACCCGCGAACCCCATCGTGATCGACTCCGTCGGGTATGCGCCAGAGCCCTGCACGAGAGATGAGAGATTGGACTACTGTACAACTCGACATGAACGAAACCGGTGAGACTGCTCACCCAAACTGACAGCTACCTTTCTTAGTCAAGCTGCTTGTGGAGTTTTGGAAGTCCTGTATCTCCGCTTCTACGGTCTTTACTGTGTCCTGAGTCGGCCGCAGGTGTCTATGCGGTGAACCCACTGCAACACAGCAACGCCAAGAGGCAGTCGCGGCTGTTGCTTTGAGGCACTCATCCTGGTTAGCGAGAGCGAGTGGTTGAAAGCGAGCACCAGACAAGCAAAGCTGCCGGCTGCCGACCTTCTCTGCGTCGAACTTGGATCCACGGTCACAGCACCACATCTTCTGGCCATTCGTTGGGCACTCATGGGCATTGTCCTTTGTGTGAGTGATGCCCCACCTGCAAGCGGCAAAGCACTGAGATGTCTCAGTACAAATCAAAACGGACGGAAGGAGTGAGTGATCAGTGCATCGAGTGCTTCGGACTGGAAGCCCAGGCACTTCTGCGAGCCCGGAATTGGCTCCGGCACGGCAGGAGCGGCAGGCGCTGCCTGCTGAGCAGCGTGCTGGCCACCGTGTCCGCCGTCGCCACCGTGGCCGCCGTCGCCACCGTGGCCACCGTCGCCACCGTGGCCGCCGTCGCCACCGTGGCCGCCATGGCCACCGTCGCCCCCGTGGCCGCCGTGGCCGCCGTCGCCACCGTGGCCGCCATGGCCACCGTCCCCCCCGTGGCCGCCGTGACCGTCGTCACCGTGGCCGCCATGGCCATCGGCACTGTGTCCGCCGTCGCCATGGCCGTCGCCATGATGGCCGCCATGGCCGCCGTCGCCACCATGGCCAGCATGGCCGCCGTCGCCGCCGTGGACGCCGTGGCCGCTGTCGCCATGGCCGTCGCCACCGTGCACATCATGACCACTGTCGCCACCGTGCCCACCGTCACCGGTGTGAGCAGGCGCGCCCCCACTATCGCCATGACCAGCGTTGTGGCCACCCTTGTCCTGAGCACGGCACACCCAACAGCTCAGGCACTCTCACCAGGAATTCGGCTTTCTTCGTGCATCCCGGCAGCAGGCTCCATGATTGTCGGCTGAAGGAGCTCTCTGCTCTCCGGACCTGATACACTTAGCACTACATTTCTATGCATGCCCTGGTGTTCAGGGCTGTTTCTTGCCGCCAGCAAACTTCTGGCCTGTCCAACCGAAAATTACAGCTTTATTTCTTTGCTGGTGGCTGCCAGTTTATGATTTAGCTTAACAGTGTTCCGACTTCGGAAGGGGCCTAGGAGCTGGGAAGCTGTCAGGAGTCAGGAGGCTCACAAAGCTCTTCTCCCTCCGGACTTGAAGCTTCTACGAAGTTGCACGGCAACACTCTCGACTCGCCACCGGAAACTGGGAGCGCGGCGGGCAGAGAATATGGAGCAGGGGGCGAGAAACCATATCCTTGTTTGATGCAATTTGGCACATTGCCCGGGTTCTGTAAGCACGTAGTTCGCTTCTTCCGGGCTCTTTCAGCTGCTGCAAGGTTGCAGGCATAGGTCGCGCCAATGCCTCATGAAGTCCTTAGCAAGTGCTCGGGCCGTCTCTGGGAGAGTGCGTCTCCTGCATCTTAGTGGGATCCTGCCCGCCAAATAGGCCCAAATCAGGCAAGACTCTCACGGAACATGGAGTTGGCAGGTCGACCGGGCACTAGCTGTAGACTGCAGCCAATACGCTGCTGGCACAAGCACAACACTTTCGCGCAAGGTCGGGCCCATCAGCCGCACACTTCACAAGCATCGCACAGGCTGAGCAGCTGGCTGTGCATTGAAGCTTTCCTGCTGCCAGCGCCTGTGAAACTCTGGGCAAAGCAAGCTTAGAGTCTTAGGGAAGAGAAACCACACCTGCCTTGGCAAAGGACCAGGTGAAAGTACCCTGCACGGTCCTGGCAGAGATTCTCGCATGGGCTCTTGTGCAATGTGCAAGGCAGGCAGTCGAGTGCGCATCAGATTGGAGCAGCCAGCGATCTTGACGCAGCGGCGCAGCGAAGAGCAACATTATGCAACATTCGTATCACCGAGCAGGCGAGGGCAACGCAACGAGCCAAGCAGCTCAGCAGCTTCTCACGCTCCGCCCCGCCCCGTGCCAACGCGGCGGCAGCACCCCTCCAACGGGAGCTCCGAGGGCCACTCCTGCAGCCTGCCGCGGAAGGCCGCGATCCGCCGCAAAAAACGCGTGCTGTCTGCGATGCGAAGCCGCGAAGCCCTGAGACCGGCCTGGAGGCGCTGAAGACGTGCAAACGACAGGACGGGAAGGTCTGCGGGCGCCAGACCTGCGGGAGCCTGGAAAGGGCTGCGGGCGCCTGGTGATCTCTGCTCCTTTCGGCTCGAAACTCGGCTCGCAGCGTGTGCTGCACTGGGAGCGGAGGCAGCTCCAAGAACCTCCGGGGAAAGCTGTTCGCGGAGAGCGCGACAGCTCTCGCTCTCTGCTCCTCGGGCCTCGGTCGGCTCACGAAGTCGAAGAGCCTCTCGTAGTCCACGCCTCGTGCCAGGCCAGGGTTCACTGAACCCCTCAAGCGAATCTGCTCGAATTTTTCCGAGGTGCCGGCGACCTCGCGTGACCCTGGGGAAGGTCGGCGACAGGTTGCAACTCGGGCTCACGCCTCGGAGCTCAGGAGCTGAGACACCTCGAGCAGACGAGGACCCCAGGACCGAGGACCGGACCCGGAATGATCGGATAGGAGCAATCCAGGATGGTCGTCAGTGCTGGCAGAGCGAGGAAATCTCTCGTTGCGACTTGGCCCCGGCTCTGGGGGGCAGGCTGGCTCCAGCGGGAATCTGGGTGATGAAACGGTTCAACCTCAGCGAAGAACGGCTGCGCGCTCTGCACGGGACCCCGTGCTCCGGGCTTTTGAGGCGTGGGCTCAAGCATAGAGATGAGCCGGTAGGATGCCCCGGCAGGAGGGGGTCCAGGAGCCTGGAAAGCCGGGCGGCCATGAGCGACCCTGCGGCGCTGCAGCGCTGCGCTGCGCCAAAAACTTGAGCGGAGCACTGGGTGTCCGTTTGGCTGCCGACCATTGGCCTGCCTTGACAGAACACAACACATGGGGTTCGCGCCTGCAGAGACTGACTCTTCCGGCCGAGTGACACGGCAGAAGGTTTCTTGGCCTTCGTACAGAGGCGGAACGCTGCCATGCCACATGTCGACCAAGTCTGAGCTCCTTGCCTGGGACCACCACTCCTCCGGCAAATCCTCGGCATAGTCGGAAGGCACCAGGTAAGCCTCGCAGTCCTTTCCCTCGGCATCCTGCAGCCAGCACACGGGGGAGTGAAGTCTGGGGTTTGATCCTTCGGGCCTTGGGGTGCTGGGTGCCGTATCCAGAGAAAGCCAGCACCAAACCTGGGAGAAAGACCGGCAGTTCGCGGGTGTTGCTTAGCCGCAAAGTGCCACCAAGCAGCTGTCTCCAGGTTGTGCCCCGTCCATCAACCTAGGGATACAAACTGAAATGCAACAGCATGGTGATTCCGGTTAAGTGCAGCTTTTTTTTCTGAGCGCTTGAAAGAGGCTCTCTTCGTGCTCCTTCGCTTCGTGCGCGCAAGCAGTCTCTATGCAGCCTCTGGAAGCAGGCTCAAGGAACTTTGCTGCTTCTGAACTGGGCTGCAGCACCCTCCTTTGAGCGTGCAGCGAGCTGTAGAACCACAGGATTGAAATTCTGAAGGTGCCAGCTCGGAAGGAGCTAGCCCCAGAGTCACTAGGGACATCTGGAGACTATGGCACAGCTTCTTCTATGTCACCGACGCGTGAATATCCGCGTTATCGCTGTAAGGCCTGCGACAGGGGGGGGCGAAGCCTTCAAGATCCTTCATGCCCCCATTTACTGCCCCTTATAATCTCAGCTTCCCCGAAATCCAGCCTTCACTGTACTGCGAGTGCTTCCACGAGGAGGAAGACAATCCCTCAGGCCCAAGATTCCCGTTCACAAGCGTGACAAGGGCATCCGGTTCACCTCGGCCCAGGCCGCTTCGATCTTCGCGAAGGGGGCTGGGCTTGCTCGAGTGCTGTCAGGGCACGATGTGACTGCGCGTCTTCTCGCTCCAGATCCTGAATCAAGCCCTGGGTGGCTCGCACTCGGGTGCCCAGTCCCTTTCAACGCTTTCGGCCACTTGCAATGTGCTTCAGGACCAAACACTTTAGGAACCCAACCAACACCCAATCTAAGGCTTCCCGAACACTTCTCGCGGCCTTCCTCTAGTCACTACTCCGTCCGCGAGAAACCGATCTCGTAACGGTGCGCTGGCTTAAGACAATTTAGAACCCGTTAGAATCCGAGAAGGTGCTCTTACCACGCATGGGTTGAAAAACACTGTTCATGGTAAGACCCCCATGTCGTTAGAATCCTAGCCCCATCCCCGTGCAGAGTGAATCGAACCCTGTTGCTCCGTCCGACTCCCAAACTCGGCAAGAGCAGAATCAACAGAGCATGCCACAACGCGAGACTGGCCCTTTAATGCGGAGCCTGAATCTTCCTCGCCAGCTCCTCATCGGAGAGGCCTTCGTCGGGGCTCGGCAAGCCTCCACTCGTGGGTCACAGCTGCAAAGAACAGAGAGCTCTCTGTTGCACTTGGGTGCTCGGAGTTCTGGGAAGGCTTCCTTGAAGCCGAGGTGGTGAGCCAGAGGACCAGACCGTGGACTTGCCGGAATCTCTAGATCCAGACTAAACCCCAAGGCCTTAAGACGCTGACAAAAGCACAGGCCTAGCTGTTCGCACAGCAGGTTGTGCCGATGGGTCCGGAGGAAGCGCTGCAAGCCATCCGCTCCCAGATTGCCAGCCCCAAATCCCACCCCATCAGCTGTGTGTATCTGGGGATCAGTGTAGAAAGTCCCAACACCCTGAATATCGCAAACCACCAAGAGCTTGTCGGAGATGATGTAGCTGAAGTAGGAAAATGCTGCTGCCACCTCGTCGTCTGTCTCCGTATGGCCAGCATTGTCACTGTGCTTCACATAGTCGCCGGCCAAGTACGGCTCCAAACAAAGCGGCTCTTCAAATTCATCCATCTTGACAACAGACACTGGAAGGAATGCAATGCTGTAAGGCAGCCCTGCATGCGAGCACCACTTGTTGAACTCTTGTGCATAGCACTCTGCGACCATCTGGGTCATCGCCTCGTGGTAGTTCACATCTGGGTCCAGCCCACAGTGAGGCTTTATCCTCTTGAGGACCGCATCCACTTCACAGCCATCTTCCAACAGTTCCCGTGCGTGGTAGACCACTCCTCCGAGCGATTCGTTGTCAAGGCATGAAAGAGGCTTGGCCAAGGGCCGTCTACTCTGCAAGCGGGAACCAAAGCATGGGGGGGTGCATGGGAAAGCTGCAGCCAAGCATCGCATGCCACCCTCACTGAATGGCTCTGGGTCCAGGCGTATCCGCACAGGTTGCTCCTCCCAGCGGCCCTGCTCACAGTCATATGTGAACTTCACAGCCCGGTGCTCCCTGGGCTCTTTCGTCGGCATCAGGAAAGCCCTGGCTGGGTACTCTTGTAGGAGCACGCTAACTCCCAAGGTTCGGTCAGAGCCGAAGAAAGACGGCCAGGCAGATGCGTGCATCCAATCTGCAAACCCCACTAACTTCAGTCTGCTCGGCCGCAGGCCACTGGAAGCCGGAGAGGATGTTCTCCTTGGAAGGAACCTGCAACCGGTGAGCGAGACCACTCGACTCGATAGGGCCGCGTCATGTGCACCTGCGACAGCTTGGCCGGCTCCCCGTCGTCCACAAGCAGCCGCACTTGATCCTCCTCGAAGAGCAGCGACTGCCTTTGAACCGCAAAGGCGATGCAAGCAATTGGATGCAAGCGGCAGCCACTGACACACGACGTGCTACGGTAGCCTCAAAACCGCGTGAAGGTTCCAAGCGTCGTTCACGGCGCCCTTGAGCGGAGCATGCGAGCCTTGGCGAGTCTTCAGAAAGCACCGCTCCGCCGATGTCTCGGGCCTCTCACCTGCGTAGTTGACACCAATGATCAGGGCCTGCCGTGCCAGAAATGTATGGGTTCAGGAGCCCATGAGTCCGATTTCTGAATGCCTTGCGACGAAGGTTGGGAGAGAGCGGATTCCTCATGATATCTGGCCACCTGAGTCAAGCCGCTACACCTGGTGGACCTGACAGCTGCCAGCTACCACTGGATCTTGGGGCTGCACATGGTGCTCACTTCACCCTTGCTGATTTCCTGCGAAGTCAACCACAGCGAAATGCCTTTGATCTGTTGAGTTGCGGCTCATCGATACTTCTTTTTCGCCGTGCTAGAGAGACAGCTCATGCCCCCAGAAGAGGTCGTCGAGGTCGACATCTTCGTCACTCAGGGCCTGAGACCACGGCCCTCGAAACGTCAAACTTCTGTCAAGAGGTGCCCTACAGCGGCCTTCTCTGGCTCGGCCGAGCGCACTGCTCGATCTTGCTGGGTCTGGCATGGAAGGCTCCCGAGAAGCTTTCTGTTCCCTGTCACTCCGTGGCGACCCTGCCTTTGCCCGCTTCGCGAGGAGCTCCGGGGTCCGCTGCCACAGCTCTGCCTGGTGCCTGCCGAGGAGAGGAGAGGAGCGGCCGCGCCACAGGCGATGTCATCCTAGCCAGCTGCGATCGCTTCCGGCCTGTAGGAGAGCTCCTCCTCCACCGTGCCCAGAGTCACAAAGCGCCAGAGGAAGACCCGCTTGGTCTGCCCGACGCGGAGGCAGCGGCCCAGCGCCTGCGTCTCGTAGGCCACGGCCAGGCGGGAGCAGGATGCGAAGACGGGATGGACGAAGAGCACGTGGTTCCTATGTGCAGAGCAGAATCTCTCAATATCTCGCCATGGAACTGTGAATCTGACAAGGAAAGACAGACAAGGGCGAGGGCAGCGTGCACCATGCGTCAAAGGCTCGCTCGCGTGAGGTTCGTGCCGGATGCTGCATCTTGCAAGGAAAGCAACAACACCTTCGGGCCCTCCGTCGATTCGAGCGGGGCTCCCTGAAAGCTCGTGACGACCTCAGCGCTCGCAATCCCTTCCGGAGCGGCCCAAGCCCGCAGAATCCTGCAGACTGAGCCCGGCGCATCATCGCGTTCCCAGAAGCTGTGCAGCACCGGGTTGTTGGAGGCATCGAAGCGCTCCTTCCACCGAAGAGATGCGATTGTTTATAGACCTCTGCGGCTCTCGGACGTGGCCTCCAGGCAGACGTAGGGCACCTGGAACTCCGCAAAGGCAGCCGCCAGCTTCCGCCGGAGGCTGGCCCACTGGACGAAGACGATGGCGCGCGCCGTCGGGTCCTCTCTCGGGAACCCACGCCGGCACAGATGTCACAGTGAGGGGCAGCTTTCCAGCTTTCCGGGTCCTCCTGCGCGATGTCCCGAAGCTTGCGCACCACGTGGAAGAGCTTCGACCCGAACCGACCCCATCGCTGGCGCTCCTCACGAAAACTTCTTGCTCGAAACAGCCGGAAATGAGTGCCATCGGCCATGTCCTCGCGCTCCCCGGGCTGCACCGCACCGGGCTCGCGCACACGCAGCACTTCATCCAGCCCTGGCTCCCGACGCAGAGATTGGCGGCAAAGAGCGCACTCACCTCTCCTGGCACAAAAACCCAAGCTCGCGCGGTGCTTCCTTTTGCAATGCTACGGCTGCTAAGAATGCATGCAACCCGCTCACAACCCGCACCGGCTGTTTCGCACTCCACAGAAATGCGCTCAGCCGGAAGTTCTTTGCTACCAGCCAGACTTCTACGGGAAAATTGGCTTGGGAGGGTGAACTGGAAAAGGCAGGAGCCTTGTCCGAGAGCTCTCCGAAACAGTGACACAAAAGGCCAGAATCACGCAGAGAATACTCGGCCTACACCAGCTCTTGGCAGTCTGTGGCGCTCGTCTCTGGGACACCTTCGCTTGGCCGTCTTCCATGTCCGAGCACAGGCCACCAGGCCACCAGATCCGACGCTCGTGCTACGAAGGACGGTGTCTACGCTGTGGATTCCTCGATTCGCGTGTACCTGGGAGCAGAACAGCACAAGGATTGCACAAAGTGTCGTAACTATGGAAAAGGGGGTCACTGCAACCGATACAATTGCGAGGCACTTGAGGCTGTAGTCGGCAATGCTGACGGCGCGATTGCCAGCCTTGAAGAAGAGCTGGTCATTGGGATTCCTCGATTTGCTAACCGGTCTTTTCATGGTGGCATGGCAGGTTTGGGCTCCCAGCACAGGCTGCACTGCAACGTTGTGTTCGAGGCACAGAAACCCCAGGAGCCGAAGGCGTCCCCGGACGCCGCTCTCCGTCTTCTTCAGGGCCGTAACCTGCAGCACGTCCATAGAACACACCCGGGTGTTTTCATGGCCGATCGGAAGACAAATCGACCCCATCCTGTCCAAGCGGCGACTTCTTCATCCACTGTCAGCGGGTTGTAGCCGGCCCCAGGCGCCGCAAAGAGCGTCCGCGTACTGGCGACACCTGAGAACAGCGTGGCGCAAGCGAATCAAGGGTGATCACGAAATGATCTGCCTCGCCAAATGTCGTTCTCCGGGGACAACTCTGTTTCAAAGGCGGTGATAAATACCTTCCTGAATCCGTACAAACACCCGCAGCACTGCAAAGCGAGGCACAGTGCAGCACACTCTCCGCCGCTCCGAGTGCGGCAAGGGCTCTGGACAGCTCCTTTGAAGTTCACCAGCACGTTCCGCAGAGGATCTGACTCACCATTCCCTGCTCGCGTCGCAAGCTCACCTCGGGGGGCCATACAGGGGCTGCAGAACGGAGCTGTGCTTGATGAGTCTTGACTCGGACCCGAGTCAGGCGGCGCGTGTTGTCTTGCACCTCGACATACTCCACATTCTTTACCACTTCCCGCCCCGCAAAGGCATTCAGCTTCGCCTCAGAGACTCCCTGGAGTCGACTCCACAGGTTGCTGCACTTCTCTCGAAGTGGGGTAGAGTCTATAGAGTCTAGAGAGTCTCGTCGCATCGTGCAGCTTAGCCGCTCTGGTGTTGTATGCGCGGTCTTCTACAATGTTGTTCCTCGCATTCCGCAGGCGAGGGCTGCTACTACCAACTCGGACACAGCAGCCTCTCCTCTGCGTTCGAAGGTACCTCCGGGCAGGATGGGAAGCACCAGCTACAGTAGACTTTTTGGGACCCGCCCCCGGGCAGGAGCCGGGGCATGGAGGCCTGAGTTCAAAGTCGACGGTCTTCCCGAGCTGGTTCTGCTGCTCTGAGAGGACTTTGTTGGCGACTGCCTCTGATGTTTGCAATGTTTGCACTTCTACGCCGACCCCTACGCCACAACCCAAGATAGCAACAGACGCCAACGGCTCTGACCAAGGCGAGGCACACTTTGGCCGTTGGCCAGGAACTGCTTCCCCAGCGGGGCAGCATAGCTCTCCAACGTCTGCTCCACGCGCCAGCCTAAGGTCACAGAGCTGCGAAGGGATCTTCTTCAGAGAGGAGAGGAGGGGCACCGAAGCTCACGCACATCACTCCGACAGCCTCATGCTTCGGCATACTTCCGCCACCCTGCGCCTGTCTAATGTGCCGAGACACGGCCCTCCATCCACTCCGGATAGTACAAATCATCAGGACCCCAGCCTGAATTGAGAAGGACATGAGCTGCGGCGAGCTGAGCCAATGCAAGCCGCAAGCCCAACCTGGAATGTACCCACTCGGAAGCTTGTCGACCTCAACGAGACGTGTCTCTTCTTGTCCGAGCAGGAACGGATCCGCAGGCCTCTGTGCCATTGAAGCGCAGCTGCAGGGCGGTCTTCTCCGCGGCGGAGGCTGGCAGAGACCTCACTGAGTCTTACTGTACAGCAACACGGGAGTAGAAGAAGAAGCGGCCAAACCAAGCCAACGGAGGCCAAGCCAAGCGGCCATGGAGTGGCAGCCAGGCCCACAGCAGGACCCACACAAAGGACGTCTCGCCGACGTCCCTCCGCTGGCAGAGTCCAGGCGTGCCTCTGAACACAGGACCCCCAAAATCCCGACCTCTGCAACGCCCATAAAACTGCCATAAGCCGTCTCTCTGTTGCCAAGCCGCGACCAGAGCTCGGAGCCCGTGCAGAGGCCGGCACAAAGGGCGCCAAGGCCACGCCTCTCAAAGAGGCGCCGAGACGCTGAGAGCCGTTTCCAAGGTCTCAGGGCTGTGCGATTGCCGTGCGACTGCGTGCCTGCGCCACCGCTGCATGCCGGGCACTGCACGTGCAGCTGCGCGGTCGCCTCTGTTCGCTCTGCGTTTTGGGCAAAACAGGTTTGCCAGCTTCTGCCTGGACCCCCGCCGGCGGCTTTACATCCCGGTGCCGCCATGGCAACCGAGATGTCTATGCAACAAGCCGCGCTGGTCTCATGATGTCTCACGTCCATATAGTAACTGGCTTTAGAGTGTTGAAAATTCACCCATGCTTGGGCACCATGGCTCGCAGACACGTGAGGTTGCGCCCACCGTCCAAACTCTGCGGTGCACACGTGCTGAAAGGATGATTGAAGATGGGACTTCTGTCCTGACCAACTTCCCGGCACAATGGAGGCAGAAGAGATGGGCGCAAGCGGCCAGGATAGCACCTGAGCATGGTTGGCTGCATCCGTCCCACCGCCCACATTTCTTCAGACGATTCAGACGACAGCGGATCATTTCTGGGCGTCCCGGCGCTCTGTGGGCGGAGCTTCGCTGAAGCAGACCTCTTTTCACTAGCCCTCCAGCTGACCCAAAGTGCTCCGAGACTCGAGGCCGAGGCTGGGCAGCTAAAGCGGCTGGCCTGCTGCTGGCCATGAAACAGGAGAAGCTGAACAAGGGAGAATCCCCAAAACTACCCGCACGCATGAACCACACCTTTCCAAGCACAGCGTGAAGTGACAACGGTCTCATGACCCAGTGCGCGGGGCAGCGGCCGCTGCACGTGTTTCCCCTTCGCAAGCCGACCGCTACTGGGATGTTCAACAAAACCGGCCAGACCGGTGAGAGTCAGACATCAGGAAGAGAGGGCGTGCAAGCATTGATGACGGTACAAGTCAGACATGAGGAAGAGAGGGCGTGCAAGCATTGATGACAGTACAAGTACTCTCCCTTTGGCAAGGCTCGCAGAAGATCGCGCTGCTGGCAAAGACGACGACGACGACGACGACGGCGTCTGCATTGAAGAGAACTGCTTCGCCTACTGGCTCGACTGTGTCCTTGTTGGACCATGTTGGCTCGCGCTAGCTTCAGAGATCCGACATCTGCTAGCTGAACTCTTTGCAGGCAAACTCCTAGACAAGAATGAACTGTTTGGCAAAATCCTCGTCTGGATTCGACCGTTCATAGCGGTGCTCTACGTCACGTCACAGACCATGCTCCACGATGTCTGGGCAAACGTAAGCTTGGCATGCAAGTTTACTGCATATTGCGCTCTGCTCCATCTTCAGAACGTAACTGCGATTGATAGCTACGCCACTTGGCATGTCTGGCCTCGGCTGCCTTGAGCATCGCCGCCAAGAAAGCGTGGTCGTGACTCCTGGAAACGCGCGCTTCAAAGTGCACGTGGCGGAGGCTCCCGGGCCCTCCACTGCCGTCCTCTGGCGGAAGGCCTCCTTGGCCTGCTTCACCTCCTCCAGCAGCTCCACCAAGAGCTCCAAGCTATCTCCAGAATTTTCTGGCGCACCCTGGGCACGTGTAGATTGAGAAAACTAGGAGCGAGAGGGGATGGCCAGCGAAGAGAAGCCTCGGAAACGACTTCGGCGCCGCTAGCGGCAGAAGCCAGGCTCGAGTCACGAACTTCCGTGATGGCCCTCAGACACAAGGAAGGGAGAGAATGGCGGCTGCTTAGCGCCTAACTTCTCCCCAGAACTTCGCCCCCGGAGGCCATGTCATTTCGCAAATTTATCTCACTTTGGCTATGCTTCAGCCCGATCAAGTACCTGTGCCCGTGTGTACGCACCGTATGTGTTCATGTATGTCTAAGGATCCTTGACCCTGGAAGCTCCAGCTGGGTTGCATGAGAACTCCAAGCCCCGAATAACCCACGTCTTGCACAAGAACGACAGAAGCGAAGATGCCCCCAGGTGTGTGCGCGTTCACTTAAAACAGGGGGGGTCTGGCCGGCCTGGCCTCAGGATCAGGTCGTCCGCGTCGCGCTCGTGTCGCCGGCCCTGGCCGGCGCTTTGCCGAGCGGCACTGGCCCCGGCGATCTGCGAGGCCACGGCTTCCGTCGAGCGACTCAGAGGCTCGCCGCCGACTTCGGCCAGCAGCTGCGCATACTGCTCTGCGACGAGGGTCGGGAGGCCATTGCCGCGGCGCGCCGACAGGATTTCTGCCTCCATCCGTCTAGCAGATACCAACAGCCACTGCCGAGCAGTCTCCACCGCGTCTGCTCTTGTCCGCAGAAGCGATGCACTTTCCCTCTCGGCGTCCGCTTCCACATCAGCCTCTTCCAACCGAAAGTGCGAGCACAGCTGCAGCAAGTCAGAGCAAACTGGTTGATCTACTTGGCCCATCTGCTTCAGCTGCTTGTGCTTGCGCTTTGCATCCGCAACCCCTTGAACGTAGATTGCGCGCTCGGCTGGCGTATGGTAGAGAGAGACCAACTCTTCATGAACGTCAAGACCCGACAAGGCAGAGGAGCCGTTTGCCCTCGCCACATAATCCAGCATTCTCTGCGCCATCTCCCTGGCATCCAGCTGCCGCCGAAACGCCTGCAAGTCTATCTTGAAGGCCTCGCAAGGCTGACATTTACAAGCCCTGTCTGTCACGCTCGTCACCAACGGAAACTCATCGAGAGTGGTGCTTTCGGCAACGATGCATGCATGCAATCATGCTACTCTGCAGCTCCACGAAACCACACTGTTTCCGATAGCTGAGAGGATAAGCAGACCGAGAAGGTCTCGCCTGGTCTACCGCGCCTTACTCTTAATGGCTTTGTTCTAAGGGCTTCGGAAGCAGCAGAAACACCCAAAGAAAAGTGAGACTGTGACGATTCGCGTCTGTCCTGGACTCTTGAAAACAACACTGCACGACAGCACGCTGGAGAGACTTGTCCGGTTGGAAGAACCCCTGGCGGCTATAGCTTTTGGGCGTTGCAGGCCTCAGCGATCCGCGCGACAGAAGCAAAGTCGCTAAGGGGCGGCGTGCCGGTGAGGCCCCACAGCGCTGTCGCCTCTCCACAGTCGGCCCACAATTCCTGCAATGCCAGCAGGCGTCCGCTAGATGCTGAGTCCAAGATTTCATGGAACTCGTCGACGACAATCCGGTCCACCCCGTTGAGGCAGATTGCCCCTCAGTCGCACCGGTCTGGTAGCCCCCCCTCCAGCGACAAGTCGAACCCTCAACCAAGCTGGCTGCGCAGCTTGTGCGCCATCTCCGCAAGGTCCAAGTCCATGTCCACAGAGGCCTGAGGCTCTTTTCTATAGCACCTCTCAAACATGCAGAGGAATGGGTGCCACCTCCATCCGCGGCCGTTTCGCAGCCGTCGACAGAATCTCCACGGGTGACAGAAGCACTTGGGGAACGGCTCCTGACAGGACCGAATGCTACGCCGCAACACCATGCTGCAATGCTACAGTACACCTCGCCTCGCTCCGGGATGTCGCTGACGCCCAAGTAGAGTTCGACGGCATTTGCGGGAAGGAATTTCCGGACCTCCTGCTGCCACTGCTGCAGCAGCCGGCCGGGGACCAGGACTAGAGTCCGTCTGCTTGAGGCCTGGAGCAGGATGCGACAGGCAACAGTATTTCGCTGCGGAAAGTCATATCACTCTTCCCTTTCCTGGGGTGCACATCGCAGACTCGTGCGATCATGGAGCTGGACATGAAAATTGGACAGGCGTCACAAGGGAGGACTTGCACACTGGCTGAGGAATGGATTATTGGCTACGTTGGCTTTTTGATTTGGATTGCAGCTCTCGAAACGACAAGCGCTGCTTTCCTGGGCAACAGAAACCCAACCTCGCACAGACTTTCGCAATCCCTCAATCACAAAATAAGGCAAGAGAACATGCTCCAAAATGCGTCGATGGCGAGGACCCGATGGGTACCTAAAATGACTGGAAACTGCAATCTGACAATCGGCAAGCCTTGGGGACTTGAGGGCCAGGGGCATGGAGAACGAAAGCTCGGTCTTTTTTTCGCAAGCTGTGCAAAGCCTGTTTCTGTGATTGCTAAAACATCGGTGGCACGAGGGAAGCTCTGTTTAGAGGATGCAGCGTGCGAACTGGG